AAAGTAGCTGAAAGCTGAAAGAAAGTAGCTGAAACGGCCTCATTGGACGTGAGTTTTGGACATAACTTTTTTACCTTACTGGACCACAGAAATGTGACCTAATACCACTGGACGAACAAATGCGAAGGACTAACTATTTACCAGGACGAATTTAACTTGGACCAGATTTCAAGGACAAAAAGTCGTGGACAAAATAAATTGGACGAAAAAATTTGTGGACAAAAAAAATTGGACCAAAAGTCCTATAACCGTGCCCGATAGGTCTACAGGTAAGCCTACAATTAGGAAACACAATTTCTGGCTCGGTTTATAAACAACTTAGATGCCATTATTTTCCCTATGCACTTAAGTGTTTTAATGGATGAGGCAGAAATTGTAGTTCCTAATTGCAAAATGTTGTCCAGCTCATTATCGCATCTCATGGAAAGATAGAGTTATTCAAGTGTTATGAATAATGATTTGAAGAATTTTCCATAAATATAGTCTCTGAAATAGCGATTGACAATTTTCTGAGTGACAATTTTCATAGACAGAGAGCAAGCATGCTTTGCAATGTAATATGATAGATTGTTCAGCCCTGATTAAACATTCTTTCAGCTTCTCGGCAAAGAAGCTCGATCTATTTTGGAATCCACCTACTTCTTCAAACAAATTTAAACAGTTGGGTTCGAAGTCAGATACTTCGAGCACGGATTCGAGACCTCGAGTTATTTTCAGAGAGCATGCCATTTAGCAGATTCTGGAGACGCATAAAATAACGAGCAAAATATTTGACGGAATAGCTCGCTCCTAATATGGTGCTCTCATTGATGTAACTATACTCTCTTTGTTTGTTTTCATTTCCTCCAATTTGATTTCTTAATTATGTTTGGCACTTCAGCACAGCGATCCTTTTTCTTATTAAGCTTCATTAGTTGGATTCTGAGATCAATAAGCATTTGCTTCCTACAGTTAGGCCGAAATTGCAGGGTGGAAAAATTTCACGAGAAAAAAGTCGTGAAATATTACGAAAAATTAGAAATACATGGAAAATATTGAAAGGTACATCTCACGTCGTTGATTATCTGCACACGCTAAATAATTATCAAAACGTCCCCAAAATTCCCAAGAAGCAGTGATTTACCTGTCTTTATCGCTCATATTTTCCGCACGATGAAAATATAATAATCAGAGTTAGATGAAAAATTAAGGAAATTTTGTGAAGTTTAGCTTTTTAGTGCGGGTTGCATATCTCGAACCTGGAACGAATATATCATGTCATGTTTTACAGAATAAAATCATACGCGTATACGCCCCACACAAGCTGATAGGCGCGAAGCGTTTCGAAAGTTGGACAGCGAGGCGGTCAGGAGGCGTAGCTTCCTATTTTCCAAAAAATTTAGTCTCGTATTTTATGGAAATCAATCTTAGGTGTTTTCGTTTCATGCCACCCTGCCAAATTGACCACTAGTACTTAAAACCCCTGGCTGAAAAGCATCAGCAGAGCTTTCGTTCATGTCACTAGAGAGGCTGACTGGATAGTTCGTCTAGAGTAAATCGAAAGAATTTCAGAAAAGATGGTTGGTGAGTGAGGAGGCAGCTTTATTGAGGGAGAGGGGGTCGGTGGTGGGGCCGAGGAGATAAGAGGCGGGGAGGGAGCCGTGGTGGTGGAGCGCCTTGTGGAGCTGCAGGGCGTTGTTGTTGGTTTGGAGGGCGCCGTTCCCGCAATGGTGCTGCGAGGCGGCTGACGTCAGCGACGTGAACGACCATTTGTTGTTGTTCAGCATCGGGCTGCTGTTGCTGTTGTTGAGCGATGTCGGTGGTTGATGCGGGTCGTCCGATAGTTTCACTGCAACAGAGATGTATTTTTCGTGAGGTTTAAGGAAATTGAAACACTTCAAACGAATATAGATCGTATTCTATGCTGACGTGCTACGGAAGAACGCCGTATGAACATTCAAGAGTTGCCAAATTTCCTCGGACAAAATTTATATTTTTGAGGTTAATTATGAATGTGTTCCTTTGAAATTTTCAGGCACTTTACATCAAATTACGAACAAAATTATCTGAGAAATCGGCTGAAAAATATTCAAAAACTTTCATGAAAATTAGTGATTTGCCAGAGAAAATTTGGCAACGTCTGAAGGCTCACACGACTTTTTTCCTTAGCACGGCAGTGTAGTGGTTCGATGTATTGTTTGGTTCAAAATAATATTACCTCAAACAAAAATTTTATGATTTAAGGAGGAAAAGCTGAAAATGAGATTATTTTTAACAATTCCATTTTTTATTACCATTCTATACTCATAAGAATCCAAAACCTATCACAAGAAACCCGTTCTCTAAGATTATTCAATTGACTTTTAAACCTATGTTTACATGTTGAACCAATCGATATCGATACAATCTCACCTTTTTGATGTATCGAATACGCTCCATTGAAGAAACACAATAATTGATGGGAGGAGTATTTGTGATATGATCCCGTAGAGCACACAATTAGAAATTCCTGTGCTTACGCTTGCTTTTGGATAGGTCAGCAAAACCGATTTGGTTGCTTAACACGCAATTTTTGGTTAACCCTTAGATGCCCATTCCAAGTCAAATTGACCCGAGGCTTACTAAAAACACGTGAGCTGCGAGTTGTATGGGGCCGGTGCATACAAGCTTTAAATATATACGTCTACGAATACATCCTAATAAAGGAATCGGGCATCAAATTGAAAAGAAAGAGAAAAGCGAGTGTCAGCACAGCCGAAGATAGGAGAAACGTAATCGGGCCTAGTTTCTTAGCTTTTTCCCCAATCAAAGCGACACCTCATTGGCAGCTCGTAGCGGATGCACTGCGAGTTCACGTCTCGCGCCATCGCGCCTTCAATTTTGCAGACGCAACACGGACATCCATCAAGTACGAATAGTTGTATCTCTGCGCCGTCATCAACGAGCGTCTTTTCAGTCTTTCACTTCCTCTGTTTTAATGTTGAGTTGCGGTTCCGTTTGTGTATCTTTTTAATGCAATTCGATAAATGCCATTTTACATCTTGAAAAAATCGAGTGAAATGAGCATGATAATATCTTTAGCTTTTAAATTGAACAATTAGTCGTCTCTCTAATTAGAGAAGGCATATTTTGAGTTCCACATGAGTCTCAAAAAGCATTAATTTATGTGTAAAATAGGGCTCACTTGGAAATTGGATGTATTTATGGTAAAAGGAGCTATGTTGCATGCAAAATCTATGCACATAGTTCATTTTAGCATAAATACGTCCAATTGAGGTACGCACTTACGTCAGAGGAGCGACAAATTATTGGAGAAGTTCGACAAAGCAGTGATCTACTGATCTGCTAAAATGAAAATCGTCTCCCAGATCAGCAAACATTGCAGAGAGTACTGTGATTTCAGCTTTTCCATTCTCGTAAGAATCAGTGCGATCGTCGCCATCAAATTCTCTATTCATAATCCAGGATTTCATTGTTACAAAACCAAAATATCGATGATTTTAGGGCAATCAATTAAGTGGGGAAGTAAAAAATGGAGTGGCGAGGCGGTGTACTTTGCGATATATTGATCAATCTGCCATTTAAACCAATGGAAAAGGATCGAGGATCGAGGATGGAGGATGTTCTCAAGAAACACCTTAATAATCGGTTCTTAACCACAGCCTCAAATACATAGATAGCGATAACAGACCATTCACGTCTATAGTCACTGAAAAAATGACAGAATTGTTATCGGAGTAGATGTTTTAAAGGGATTCAACGTTTGTTCTCATTTTCCAACGCAAGGGCGGCTTGAAAATAAGGACATCAAAAGCCAGTTGAACTGGGTGGATGGGGGGGGGTTTGCAAGAACATTGGTTGAAATTCATTAAAAGTTGCGGCTTACGGGGCGGGGAGCCGTGATTTTTGTACGGATTTTCGCGAGCGCGTTCCGACTTTATGAATGGACGATAAGGGTGATGCGTGGAAGGGGGGGCTGGGGATAAACGTCCCATTCTCGTTGCCATGACAACTTGGGTTGACAACTACTTACATAAAAACATGCTCAAATGCCATATTTTCGTAAATTCCCCTGATTCGCCGCGCACCGAGGCCGACGTTCAGAAAATTTACATTGGACGCGGTTGGAAAAGAGGGTTTCCCTCTGTTTCGGCGAAGATAGACGCGATGGCAACCCTCGAGTCTCGAAAGTGGTGTTAGTACTCTCCCAAAAGCTTGTTCGCATGAAAGCAGTTGAGGATGTGTCAGCGATTGTAGCAGGCAAACAATCAAATCAGGATTTTGTCAAATTCCTAGGCGGATAGTGAAATAATCTGACTTAAATTGTCATTTTGCTTCTCTCGCTGATTTTAGAGCGAGTATTTCTTCACTCGTGTGTCAAAATGTGTATCATACATTGGTATCTGTAATAATCTCTAGCCTTTGAACTAAGATTCATCTAAAAATTTACAGAGTGTCGTAAAATGTAGAATTTTCCAAATTATTAGAGTTAAAACATATGAAGAGCATTTACAAAGAAAAATACTAGTATCAGGAAAGCTTGTGGATTTTGTGAATTTTTACTGCAAAAACGCTAAAAACCTGAGAGCTTTTAGTAAAAAATATACTAAACTCCGAAAATGGTGAAAAGTTTATTTGCCTGCACAAAATGCTCACTTAATGTCTCAAAAATAAGCGGTAAAATAAGTGTCGTCTTTATTTCGCATGGTAGGCAAAAATGGTTTCCTAAGAGTCAAATTAGCGGACATATACTGATTAATTTAATTCCTAGAGCTTTAGGCTGAAAGCTCAATAACAGTTTATGTGACTGTTTAATCCGACAGGTCCACACTATGGTGTTTTTATGATGAGCGTTAGGAAGGCTGCCAACAAATATTATTGGAAATACTCAGAAGCCGACACTTTAAATGACTCGCTCATGTTATTCCATATTCAGAAACTCAAAGCTTACTGTCATGGATAAAATCTTCAAAATTAAAAATCCCATCTCGCGTTCTGGAACTTATATAAATCAGAAGGAACCATCTTTATCGTGACATGGGTCCTAAAATTAATGTAATTTTATGGGTCTCAAGGCGCAAATCAAACGGAAGTTAGTTCCTTTCGATTTAAAAACATTCAATTATTAGCGTTTCCTATCCTGCAAGGTGTCGATAATTTAGACAAAGGTCACCTTATATAATCAAAAGTTAGAATCTCTAAAGCCGTAGCCCGTGACAATGGTGATATCAGAACATAGGAGAAAAAACGGGAAACAAGGCTAAAAATTACACATGAAAATCCGAGACGTTTCGGCTCAAAACTGAGCCAATTTCAGTCGGACGAATAAAAATAAAATATAAAAATTCCAAATAGGATTTTCATTTATTAGGATTTCATTTAGGATTTTCATTTATCATCAATTGTTGAGTCGACACCATCACCATATTCGGGATAGAAAGTTTAAACCTTAATGAAAAATCCCAGCCCATTATGTACGGCTAAATTGTTCATAGAAACAGGATTGCTCGCAGATTTCCCTTTGTTTGTCTCGGTACGATATATTGAAAAATATTCCCTCCACTTCTACACTCACCCTGAAAACTTTACGGTTGGGGTTGAACTACTGAGCAGGGGATAAATATAATGGAGAGAGCGGGTCGAAACCGGGGGAGTTCGAAGGATGGAACACGATAAAAAAATGAGCCCGAGCATATTTCCTCGTGGACAAAAAGCACACGTTAAACTTTGGCCGTCGCTTGTTGCCGCCCCGAGCATCGCGAAAAGAATACTCGACGTTTGTCAGCACGGGTTGGGGACTTCGACCATAGGTTGGCAACCTGTTAGGTTTAACTGCGAGCGGAGACTTGATGGGACAGAGGAGCAGTGAAACCGTCGGGAGAAAGAGAGCTTCGAGGCGGAGGAATGACATAGGGAGAAAAACTGCACTCCCGAGTGGTCACGGAAGGAGGGAGTCGAAAGAGTGACCATCATTTTTATATCAGAAGTAGTGTGCTGCCGTGCTGAGGAGAAACGTCTTATGAACACTCGGTTGTTGCAAAATTGCCGCTGATAAAAATTTAATTTTAGAAAAACCCATTTATACGTCGGCGTGGACGTCTTGTGAAAGGTTGACGACAAGGAGTGGAGGAGGAGATCAGAAGGTGCCAATAGCCTGATGATCTCTGGGAGGATAGGGGGTAACGGCGATTGGGCGTCGCAGAGCGCGAGGCTGCGCTATATAAAAGCGGCTTTATGTATGTATATGTCGAAGGTAATTAGTCAAATCAGGCATTTCATCATATGCTGAGGCTGGTAGTCAAAATTCGACAGTTTACGGAATTCTGTAAATTTATAGCATTAAGGAGTTCACGGGCTTTCAATATTTAGGGAAGAATTATAACTCCTCAAATCTGTGAACTCTCCTTATTCTTCCCTTTTTAGATACTTTTAGTACATTTTTTAAGAAAGTAGGAGGAGTTGCACGATTTTGAAATCACTATAATCGCGCTGGTTCCTTTTTGCTAAGTGCTATCTATTTCTCATTGAAATTTTCAGATATTTTTGGATTAAATTACAAACGAAATCGCCTTAAAAAGTGGAAGAAAAATAATCAGAATTTTCCTGGTAAATTGGTTTTTTATCGAAGGGAATATGGCAACGTTTGAAGGCTCATACGACGTTTTTCCTCAGTGCGGTAGTGTGAGTGAAGGGTACATGGGACATCCCAAGTGGGGGACGACGAGGGGAGCAGAGGGGGGAGGGGGAGGGGGAGGGGTGGGGGTGGAGAGACGCTGCTAAAGACATCCCTCCGAGAAGTCGCATCTTTTTCCTGCCTTTTTGCTCGTCCGGTGGAAGGAAGCTGTGGGCAGGGGAAAAAGGAGGACAGAGCCGCCAAGTGGAGGATTTTCCGTTTAAGAGCCGGTTGACTTTTCCTGTGAAATGGACGCTCGTTTCAAATGATGAGGGGTCGTTTGTAAAATAACGTAAAGCTCAATTTCGGATTTTTACCCCCCCCCTCCCCTCACTGCCGCACAACGCTTTTGTGACGTTGGACTCTATCCTATGACATGTAGAAACAAAATGGCGTAACGCTCTGCTCGATCCCCCTTCCTCCCTGGAGCGTCAAGTATTTTATGAGCGGCAATTAATTGATCCCTTTTCAAGAAAGGATAGGGTGGATCAAACGAATTTTATCATAATTATTGACATTTTTATTCGCTACTTTTTTCAATATGGACGACAGGGTTCATTGCGAAGTGCAGTTACGTCCTTATGTCAGGAACGCGACCATAAATGCAATTCTTGAAAATATTATAGGATGTTAATGGGATCCAATTAAAACTAGTTTCAAAATATACTCTGGAGAAAATCCACCCCCAAATTCTAATTAAAGCATCAAATATTGCGTTTAAGCTTTCTTCCCGCCACAAGGCTCCATAAAATTTTGAGACTTCAAACGCGTTTTTCTCGATACAGCAAAAACTGCATACTTATGCACCTTCTCCTCCGAGCCCCTCAGTCGATTCGACTCGGAAGAAATGCTTATGAGTTCAAACGACTTACAAAGATCTAAGTTTAATTTTTTCCCAGAAAGAATCAAGGTCCAGCCCTAAATTGCATAACGCATTTTTGACCCCCCCTACTCCCCTTGTAACGCGTTTGGAACGAAGGTCCCTACATCCCTCAATATGTAAAAAGAAAATCGCGTAATGCACTCCTCGATTCCCCTCCCCAGACCGTTACCTAATTCAGGAACGGCCACTCAGCGCAATAACCGCACTGGAAAAAAAAAACACACACATCGGATCAAGAGTCCAGACTCTTGAAAACATTGACAAGAAAAAGGACCCTTAATCCAATCAGATTTAAGCTTAAATCAAAAGGAAATCCGCTCAAATTAAGAGGCTCGGTTCTTGATTTAAGCTTAAATCTGATTGAATCAAGAGTATTTTTTCTTATCGATGTTTTCAAGAGTCTGGACTCTAGATCCAATGTGTTTTTTTTCCAGTGAGTAATCAGACATCAAATTGAAAAGAAAGGGAAAAGCGAGTGTTAGCACAGCCGAAGATAGGAGAAACGTAATCGGGCTTGGTTTCTCAACTTTTTCCCCAATCTTAAGAGACACCTCATTGGCAGCTCGGAGCGGACGCATTGCGAGTTCACGTCTCGCGCCATCGCGCCTTCAATTTTGCAGACGCATCACGGACATCCATCAAGTACGAATAGTTGTATCTCTGCGCCGTCATCAACGAGCGTCCTTTCAGTCTTTCACTTCCTCTGTTTTCATGTTAAGTTGGTTCCGTTTGTATTTTTTTCGAAGCAATTCGATAAATGTCATTTTACATCTTGAAAAAATCGAGTGAAATGAGCATGATAATATCTTCAGCTTTTAAATTGAACAATGTACCCAGTATAGTTGAACAATGATTCAATCAGATTTAAGCTTACACCAAGAGGAAATCTGCTCAAATTAAGAGGCTGGTTCTTGATTTAAGCTTAAATCTGATTGAATCAAGAGTATTTTTTCTTGTCGATGTTTCTAAGAGTCTGGACTCTAGATCCAATGAGTTTTTTTTCCCAGTGCGGGCCATTTTTGGATGGGAGGAAATCCATTTTTTGGCGCCTGAAATGCGGCAACGCGAGGAAAGGACACCGCGCCGCGCCATTGAGGGGACGGAGGCTGGAACTTTATCTGTTGCTGTCTGTAGGGGGTAAGAGGAGGGGTGAGGAGGGGTGAGGAGGGGGTGG